GATTAAAATGTAGTCAGAGTAACTGTTTCATAAAAATTTGCCCAAAAGTCCTACCTTTAAAGTGTAATTATGCCTTAAATTAAAATCACCATACTCGTCGGTGATTGGCTGGCCGACTGCTTAGGCGATGTTTCATTGGTTAACGTCAACCTTTGATATTTAAGATCTCCTATGCTCCTTTAAATGGGCGAATTCACGGAGAAAGTACAAAAGTAGCGGATGGCTAAAGTACTTCTTAATACAACGCCTTCAGTTTTCCTTTATGGTCCATCATGTCAACAGGCATGGATGGTACGAAGTGGCCCTAGTTTCAATGCCAGGCGCAACTCATTTTACTAACGTTGAACAACTGACGTTTTTTTATGATGTTCTCAGAAGTGTCTTAAGGTACCATCTAACAGGCTTGAAACCCAATGACGACCAAAATTATGAAGAGGCTCGTAATGAAAGATTGCGTGTAGTCTAAAACGTTTACATTGGCATCAAAATTGTGTGAAACTCCTTTACTTTTTGATGGTCAAAGGAGACACAATAATGGAAGCAGCATAGTTATAAAGGAGGAGTAAGGAAACCAAAGTGCTTCAAGAGTCATTTTAATTTGAACAGGATTGGAAACTTAATCTTGTTTATTTTTAAAGACCACAGGCGAATATTTGAGCCTGTTTGGTGTGCACGCCTCTAAACTAATTTGGCCGCTGATATGCTTTAAAGAATTTGGCATAGATCATTCGTACTTTGAATGTTGTAAGCTGCGCCTCGACAGCCAACTTCGGTATCTGCTAAGCTCATCAAACTTTTTATTTCAGCACAAAATTCAGACGGTTTATTTATACTTGCTTAGAAAGGTACTAATCCAAATTGCTGTAATGAAGTATAAATCGCTCACTTCAGGGCGGTTCTTTCGAGAAAAAAGGGAGTGAAGAAAAAACACCTTTGAAACGCCCTAAAAGGCAAAGGACATCCAAAAGGGTGTCGGTCACCTCTTCTCCCATCGCACCATTCATATTCTCGCAAAAAAAATTAAAAATTTTCTATTGCAAATTTCCCTGAATTGGGGTCAAGCCTGCCTTGCCTCACCCTGCAGCGCCAGTTTAACGACCGCCACCACCGATGATTGCGTGGATTTACCACTTACGATTATTATACGGTGCTTGAGGCCTAAACTAGAGGTCTCTGCTGCCCATTTCCACAGCCCCTGTTCCTATTTTTTAGGTCTACCTCTATATTTCGAGGAAAAAGAATTGCATAAACGCTGCTCAGCAATGATTCTAACACATTTTCGTTTATTTACTCCCATCGACAGCTCGAGATCCGTATGTATGCATAGTAAATTATCATATTTCATGTTAATTGTCACAATGCATGTGACACTTTTTTCTGTGCCATTCTCGCAGATGAAACAATGTTTTCCTTCCCATTAGTAGGTGACCAACGATTGCAGCATTTTTTTGTTACTTGGCCCTGCAAAATGCATTAACTTGCCTTCTTTTTATGATAAAATGTTTCTCATATGCTCATTTATCATTTATTTTTGGGCGAATTTGAATTCTATGGTTTAAAGTTGCTGAAGGTGCGATGTTTATCCACTATCAAGTAGGGTCAAGCGGAAGCACTTTTTGAACTCAATACCAATGGATAAATCATCATATAGACCTCTCTCGTGTTGATTTAGCTACTTTTCAAACTCGTACACATTGGAGTACTGCATAAATTTATGGGGAGAACCTACTGTTCTTACAACTGCTACTCCTGCCACATTTGCTGCAGCTGCTGTGAAACCGGCATTAAATATTTACTAGACTGTGTATGGATAGTGCAGGGAATGGTGAGTGGATTGCTGTGGAGGAGGTGCACAGAGCGTTTCCCTTTCATGCCCTACCTGCATAATACGCAACGCGTTAGGTGGACAAATGAAGAGCAGCTGAAGAACATGACGCAGTGTTTGGATAATTTAATGTGAAACATTTGTCTACTCACCACATTTAAGTAGGTGATGTAATTAATAAACACTGCGTCGTGAGCTGCAAAACAATTCCCAGCACATTTACTCGTCCCTTTGAGTTTAGTTTGCGTTGGATACTTCAGCTTCTTTCGATTGCTACAATTTATCACACTTATATTTTAAGCCTAAAGAAGTATGCGAGGAATGCAAAAATGTGGTTTTTATGTTCCGTCCAAAATTGCCACTTTGCGATTTTTTCGCATATCTTTCTGACGCCACTTGTTTTTGTATTTTCAATTGTAACTTTAAAAGGAAATCATCTTTCGCCCAAGATCTACCTCTCATTCGCAATGGATTACACTACACCTTTCAGCGAGTACTCTGGATATTACAATTTGGGTTATCTTCAGGCATATCACGGGTCAAATGAGTCCGGAATCACCAGACTAAGTGTTTACAGAAATAGCAAAAAGAGCGTTAGTAGTTAAATAATAATTATGGTGTTTTGCCTTTCAGTAAGACACTGAGCAAAATAGGGCAATTAGAGAAATTTATTCGATCTGTAATAATCGCTCTATCGTTGGATACGCACGACGCCGTCCGACGCCGCTAATGGCCAATACGAGTGTCTGCTCTACTCTGATTGGTCAAGGGAGTAGATAAGACTCACTGTCATCCACTCACACACTCAGTAGTAAACTCGCTAACACTTCAGGACAGGGAATAAGGTGACGACTTCCATTCTACCATCCATGGGAATCCACTCTCGCGCATCTCAGTTAACTCCATGACTACACAGTCTGTGCTGGTTTTCCTGTCCTTAGCCAATTCACATCGCTTCCTCAGCATCTACATCCTATGTGTCCTCTTCTCCCTCCTGGTTCCACGTTGTTCTGGTCAAGCCTTCCTGTTGCAAGATCTTGAGGAATTATCCGACTTGTTGCTCAGCAAAGGTGAGAAAATGAAGCAACATTAATTCTACCATAAAACAGTTTCTTGTGAAATAATTGACGAAAAAACTTTCCAGCCTTGCAGTAGTTCGATATATCTGATAAGTCTGCCAACTGACTACTTTAGAAATCTTCTTCATTGAGTTCACATAGCTCCTCGACCCACTAGTGGCATACAAGATGCAGCACCTTTGTTTCTTCAATGCTTCGAGTGATGGCCACAAGGGTGTTAAGACTCTGAACTCGCACCAAAACACCAAATCTTGAAGCTTTGTTGGAATTTCGAAGATTGACACTATTTTAGTCAGGAGCCAAAATGCCTCCCAGAGCTGAACCCGCAATTTACTATTTTTTCTTATTATTTGAGAAGTTGTCCGACCTTCGAATTATTTTAAACAAAGGCGCGGTTACGGCTGTTTTGTAAGGCCTTGTTTCAACAGAGCAAGTAGTTTTTCAGTTTTATTTATTTACTTACTTCAAAGTCTGCCATTTTAGGAGCAAGTTAAAGATTTTGCAATTAACTTCAAAATTAAAAATAATTATGAAAAGGAGGGAGATAAGCACTAAAAAACATTAAGGTAAAGTCAAGGTAACCAGAAGAAATTAATTAAATTGTTGCATTAGGACTGGAGAGGCTTTTTGATGTAGATATGTTGATGAGCGCATGAGAAAGGCATTGACTAGTTCCCTCCTCTTGATTGACAGGCGTGGCTCTTTACCATGTCATCTGTTTCAATGCCAGAAAGCCATTTTCTTTTCAACCCATAACGCGCTATGGAAGCATAATAGAATTTGGGCATCTACGTACCTCAAAAGCTAAAGCTTATGTTTGTTAATAAGCACTTGGTGGGCCCAGTTTTCATCAAAAGTGAAGCTTTTAAGGACATCCCCTTACTTCACAAGGGCGTTGTTAGGGATATTTTGTGCAAAAGTTTTGCTGTTGATTGTCACATAGCGAAATATTGCTTTCCTTTTTTGACAAAATGGGTTCACATTAGAAGCCAATGAAGCGTCCCGAGGCTTCCAGTGGAGTAGTAGAAGGCATAAGTGAAGCAAAATCTTGCAGAATGACCACCATCGACCTTGTTTACGATGTACCGGCTAAATAGTGGTGTCGCGGTTCCCTATGATTCCCCATTCTGTATCCTGCTTGCGCATCGTGTTGCATGACACTGCATGCCTTTTTGGTGCTTTTTAACTGTAGCTTCTGTGTTTGCTTGTAAGGTAATGAGTAGTGCCTTCTCTCCTATTCACATTCATCCTTTTCTTTTGCCACCACTCATCCTCTCTATCTTCTTCCTCCTCAACTCGCCTTATCTTCGGTCGCTATCTGTCTGCTCGTTTGATATCGAAAACTAACATTATTTGTGGCTGTGGGAAATAAAAGCAGAAGGTTGGCGACCGAAGGAGGTGTTTCAGACAGGAGCAGCGGCCAATGTGTCTGGGGCGTCAGAGCCCATGTACTACGTACCCCGTAAGTGACCGCTCATTTTGGCGTCTCGCTCTTCTAAAGTCACTCATACAAAGCAATTTCATGCACTATTTTAAGTTTCTCACTTGCTTACTATTACCAAGGTTAAGGTTAGGTGCTTCGTCCTTTTCTGAAAGATTATCCAAGTCTTCTCATGGCATTTCCTTTTCTCTTTGTGGCTTTGAACGACATATGCTATTCGGCCATTATTTGCAATAACACCTCCATATCGAGCAAAAAGCATTTCTATACAGCCAAACGTCACAATTAAAAGGGGCTTCCCTTGGGGGCATGGAAACCTTTTTATGCTGCTTACAACGCTTTGATCGGATTAGAGGTTCTCGGGTTCAATGGACACTCAAATTCTCCACATTTTTGTCACCCATCCAAAAGTGCCAGAAAATGCAGCCTCCGGTAGCGAATCGAATGAATGCGCTCGGTACTGATTTGTGCCCCATCTTATTGTTCGCATCGTAGCTGTAGAAAAACGATCAACTTATTTTGCTCCAAGGCGTAGTAAAAAAAAGTATTTCCCACCTATAAATATCATTTGCATAAACAATGAATTCTTTGAGTAGCTGTTGGCTTTGCTTGTTCTTTTATCAGGAGGTAGCGTTTTTATTTTGGCACGTTTAATATGAATTTGGGAAAGTCGCTTCTCATTGGTGCAAACGCCTCTATAGGTATTTCTCACAACTGAGCACAAATAAATTTTAATGCACTCCATTCCTACTTTTTGCCTTTGTTTTACCTCTTTAGATAAATTTTGCCCTCAATTCAAAAGAGGCTTACATTTGTAGCGGCAAATTTCCTTTTCCCCTACAAACTTAGCAACAACGCCTCTGCACAAGAATATACATGAAATCAAATTCCATGCAATAATTTTATGTGCTTTCTTAATACGAAATTTAGTTATTTTAACGATGCAGTGCTAAGAACTATGTTTAGCAGTGTTGCTTGATTTAAGTAGAACATTTAAGTAGTGTTTTTGGTCCCGCGTTTAGAGGTGTACTTTAGCGAACACCGAATTGCGCCTACTGCGTAGGCGAGGGGCTGCGACAAAGTTCGCCACTTTTAGGTCTCCTTCATTTTCTCTATTGCGTAAAATATTCCCGCAAACCCTCTTTCAAACTGAATTTACTAGCTTTTGGAGAATGTTTAAAAAAACAGCATATCACTGCTATTTCCTGGGGCACTTTCAGTAATCAGTCAAAACAGAATGTATTTTGTGAAAACATTACGATTGGCAAATGCATTCTTTTATTCTCTTTTGTAAACGTGAGTAATGTTTTTTGGAGGAGAACACTTCTGCACTATCTTTTTTGCCTAAAAAATGCGCGAAAAGACATGCACCCACTGTACTCATCCCTTCTGCATCAAAGCACCGAGTGTGAACTTCGGTGCTTGGGTATGTGGATGTTTCCGAGCACTTGGCTACAGCACCTTTTAGTGATCTGCAAAACACGGTTGCGTATCAGCGGTGGTGGGCACCGGTACGCTCCTGCCCATACTTGGCTCTTCTGGCACGATTCAGTCGTCTCATTTAGTCGTACGATGTTAGTTGAATGAGCTCGTCGGCTCCATTTCGGCTGAGGAAGTAAAGCAGTTTCTCGCCCACTTCACTAGGTAGGATTTCGAGAAAGCCCAGTAGACGGAAGTGAGAGAGAATAGGGTCCATAAGAGATAGTGAACCACCCAAGTTTGTTGCATTAGAAGCACTTAAACTTCATACGGGAAAGCCGGAGCAATGGCGCTTCGAATAACACTTTGTGAAGTGTAATGCAGACCACTCCAAAAACAGTACTCGCTGAACGCATTCAGGAGACGAGAGAGAGGAACTGTGGAAAAGATACCGGTTGAAAGACTAATGCATGCGTTGCTGAGTACACTCGTAGGTTTCGCGTTTAATGCTGACTGCCGTGGGATAGGAAAGGATGCCGTGAATGCCTCAGGGGATCTCACTTTCCTTATGCGTATTCTGGACTGGATACACGGTAGCTCACCAGAGGTTGTCCGCTCTTTGTGGCTAAGATCTGCCTCTTCCCTGAGGCACAGCCAAATGGGTTTCAGAAGTACCAAAACGGTGCATTTTTTGTTAAGCATCCACTGCCTGCGTGTCGCTGGAGTCGCAGAAAAGTAAAAAGAAAAAGGTGTTGAATGTGAAGGAAAGTGAACGTCGTGAGGGGTGACTTGTAGTCCCTTTGGTTAATGCTGAGAGCAGAAAACTCCCCTCAAATTAGTCCCTTTAAGCACCCCAAGGGGTATAAAGAATCGGTCATGACGTTGAAAGGGAGATAAAAATCAACTGCAGTAAAGTTTATTAGGAAATAAATTGAAGTAGTCCCTTATGATTCACCACGAGGTCTCCATTCTACGTATTATTATCGAGCCTATTCCAAATTGCTACTATTTGAGCCATAAAACCTCCTTCATGCTGATCTACATTTATTTCCCTAATCAACGATTATGGGTGGTTATTAGTTCCCTTCTCGTACATGACAACTCGACTGAAATGAAAGTCATTTCTTTAATGGTCAGTCATTCCCGTGTGTGTTGCAGTATCCAGAAGAATGTTGTGGTGCTACTTCCTTCCGCTCCGTTGTCAGTGCCTGTTGCCTCGGCTCCACTACAAGGGGAAACACATGGTGGAATGCTTTTTACGGCAGTTCTGAGAGTCCAAACAGGATTTAAGAACTTATTTTATGTTTTTTTTGCCTTCCTCTACACAGAGAAACCTCGAATCGTTCAACCCTTGAAGTCGGAGAAGGTAATCTCTGGTCAGCCGGTTCTCTTCGTCTGTATGGTCGAGGGAAACCCGTCACCTCAGGTTCAATGGACGGTTAGTCAAATTTTTATTCACTCCCTCCGACGTCTTCACTATTCTCATAAAATGGATGGAAATTCTTCGTCTACTCCCAGATTAAATAGGTATTATCCACCAAAACAGTGATTATAGTGTGGAGTCCCAAGCTCTTCATTCCTCACAAACAGCACCGAAGGGTGTGCTTCAAGCGAGGTGCTCAAGTTCTCTTTCCACAATGGGTTGTGACAACTCGAGACTAATCAAACAACCGTTGCTTATAGGACCACCATGCTCCTCTCATTTTTGCGAGGCTAAGTGGTGAATCGCCTTTTAGAAGCACCCAAAGTGAGAATTTCGACTTTTCCATTACATTAGTAAAAGCACAAATCACCACCACGGAATTTTGAAGTTCAAAGGTTAACTGAATTCTGCCAAGTGGAAGTCTGTGTTTCGAGTTCCTCCAAAATCTATTATACACACAGTCTTAATAGGTGCTTTGTCTATTCAATCCTGTACCACTTTCCATGAGACGCATCAACAACAGAGGAGCCCAGAGCACCTTGATTTATTTGTCATGCACACATTGTACCACCATAATTGACCGAATTTTATTGCCCACCAACAATAAACAAAAGGTAGGAAGTACCATTTTCTATATGAACTGCCCTCACATAAAACTTCACAAAGAATACTCCTCTTCCATCTCCTTTCTATCGCAAGCCTAAATGCTCCCTAATTACTCTTGGAGTGCCTTTGCCTGCTTCACTTCTGTAGTGTTTGAGGAGACCGTAGCCCTCTGAATCACCCTCGCCACATCATATCGGGGCGTAATGGTCATGAAATGTCGTCGAGTACAGCGAAGACGTCGCGCCGCCTAATCCACGTCAATGGGGTAGGGAAAATTGGCGAATTTGATATCCACTGCCTTTGTGACACAGTGAAAGGCTATCAACAAGCTTGAATGGGACAGTCTTTGCAATCCAGTTGGATAGAATTTTTTGCAAATGATTTCTCTTGCATTACAACTTTCTGATAGCAGGTGACTGAGAGGATGCAAAATCATGCATCAGTTTACTGAGGAACGTTGTGAACCTACTGATGGCATAGTGTACTCGGTCAGCAGATATTACGTTGGATTTGAAGTCAGAGATGGTCGATAAACATCACTTCGGGAGTGTCGACAGGAAATGACGCCTCTTAAATGCAATATTCTCATGAAGGCATGCATTGACAGCTGTCATCATAGCATTGCGTGTCAGTGTGATTGTAGGTCAAAATGACGGTCACTAAGTCGGTCTTTTGTGACTTCTTCGACTCTTTATGAAAAACAAGACTTTGGCACCTTTTTCATTGAATGAGTGATGGGATGGAAGAAGGTGCCTCCACCATGGTACGCGAGGTTGTCTCCACCGCCACAGTGCCCTAGGGTGGTTGACATGCTCTCTGACGTTGGAGGTTGACACTCCGATACATCCGGTGAAGTGGTAAGGCAGGCAGATTTCACCTTACGTTACAAGCAAGAGGCTTCACTACTCCGCATTTGTTGAAGTCGTAACAGCTGTTGGTTCCGCCAGATTTCACTACACACTTACTTTCTGCTTCACATCAAAAGAGTTCTGCGTTACCGGAAACCTCCGCACGGGTAGATACAAGTTCACCTTCACGTTTATACACTTTTCACCACACCGGTTTACAAAAGACGCCGGGTCTTGCTTTCTGTGTGTGTGTGCGTGTGTGTAAAATTCTGCATAACAGTTTCTCTTTATGATTTATTGCCACTCTCCTGCCCTCTAAAGTCAGCCAACCAACCAACCAAACCGAAATGTCTCCCTCCCTGCTTGCCTGCCTGCCTACCTACCTGCTAGTATTTCTGATTCAGGTGGACAATTCTTTCCTTTCCATCCGTATTTTTACATAATTGACACAGTCTTGTGGGGGCAAGCTCAGCTTATGACCACACCTATTGTTGTGTCCGTCTATTAAATGATTAAAAAGTTGTTGATTGGTGCAGAAGAAAGATGGACAACGATGAAAGGCAAAAGGAAGGAAAAAGCGTATAAAATATATTGACGTTGCATTTGGTGTTTTCAAGTAGTAGAGAACTTTTCTAGGAAGAAAGTCGGTATAGAAGTTGGAGTGAAAGAGGATGTGTCGTCCGTTTTTGCATCGAAATTAGCTGGCTGATATCAACTTAACAGTTGGATTTGGTAACAGCTTGACTCCCTCCACCCTCCTTGTGAGCATATTCGGAAGGGCGAGGTTTCCTCCACTTAGAGGATCCCATTGGTCATATTTGTATAAATTTTTGCATGTTTCACAGTGCTGCATTAGCTTAAGAAGCTTAACTTCCCTTCGACATCGTCTTCACGTCAAAACGGATCTCCATTACTTAGGGGCAAAGCTAAAAACTTCCGGTTGAGTCTTATTTCGGCTCTAGTCTAAGGGCCTTTTCAAGTACCTAAAATGTGGCTTTTGTTTTCATTGTCTCCTCCGAGTAACTCCTAAATCAGGCAATAGCAGAACTCCCAAGTCGGTTACACCATTTGTACGGGAGTTTGGATTCTATAAACTGTCAGGCCCTGGAATGACACAACTGAAAGCAAGGTTGGAAAGAAACAACACTTCCGTACACAATAAAACTTGCAGTCTCTTCTCGATGTTTAAATGAGAACTAACGCAACGCCGACCCAGCGAACTTGCCTTTTACTACCTATCCACAAAATCTTCCTTTTATGGATAGAACTGTGCGTGAATGGGTGTTCCCAAACTTTTTGGCAGTCTCCAAACAGGATCCAACAATTGAGGGAGTGAATAATTCTTTCGAGATAAAATGGAATGTTCGTTTCTTTGGATGCTGAATAATTAAGCTAGAGAAGGGTGATGGTAAAATGGGGGAAAGAAGTCGGACGATCCTGACAGAGCATTGCGATTTGTCACACCTGTCCCACAACACAAGAGACTTCTCCCAACTGAGGTGAATTTGGAAATTTGTGGAGATTAAGGAACAAGTGAACTGCATGGACTTAACAGCCCATCATTACGTTCATTGCCTGCGAGGAATGCACCACTGCGGTCCCTCTGACACGGTAATGGTCTCATGCGATGCTCCAGGCTTGGCTTAGTCAAAGGGCGAAGACTTGGAAACACCGCGTATTAGCCTTCATGCTCAAAAGGGAAACCTTTCAGTTTGGTCACAATGCACGACATGCTGCAAGATCTGATATTTGGACTTGAAGGAAAAGCATCTTACACTACACACTTTGGATAACGAGATGTTTGTGGATGAAGCCTTCTTTGGTGCTAATGAGCCATGCCACTGGGGAAGGAGTAGAAACAGGCTATCACTTGGACTTACCGCCCACAGCGAGTGAATTGCCTGCGGAGGTAGCCATAGGCATCTTCTCAAACGAGTGCCAACGCACGCCTCCGTTGTTGAGTCAACACTTTTCTATCTCTCATTTTTTTTTTTATAAGCAATCTTGTAATCTGGTAAAGTGTCACGAATTCGTGAGGGGTCTCAATCATTCAACTCAATGTTTATAAAGACATCATTTGAGGAGCTTTTTTTGGCCTTCCTGACACATAACACACTCAAGGTGGTCAAAAATCTCCAAACAAACAAAAAAAGACTTCAAAATGAGCTAATCATTATTCTCATTTATGAGTAGTAAGAGTTGGCCAAGACTTGAAAAGGAAAGCAGGGAGCAAGTTCAATAAAAACAGTTATTTACAGCAGGATTAGTAAGAGTGTGGAGGGAGAAGAGGTGCAAAATTCGATCAGATAAGCGGATGTGACGGAGGCCAGGAAAGGGGAGACGTGGGATAGGAAAAAAGTTGGTCTGTAACTGTAATTTACTCGCCTTCTCTCTTCATAACTACAGCAAAAGTTAACCGCTAAACAAATGAATTTTTGGCTATCCGATTTGTGTCAGAGAATTGGCTTTCCAGACAAATGCAAGGCCGATTAAAATGTGATAAATCGAGGGTGAGTGAATCAAGCCTAGGATGCGTGTTTCCACACTTACCTAATGAAGTTTTTTTCAATGTGTAGACAGAAAAATAACTGCTTTTGAGAGAACAGGTTTTAGTATTGAAATAGGGACTTAGAATGACCTCCACCAAGCCTCAAAATGTGCAAAATTCAACACGAATACTAGCATGAGAGATGTGAAGTAGGAAAATTGCTTCCATTTCACTCACACCTCAAAGTTAATTCCTTATTTTAGATCTCTGGAATATCAGTGTTCTCCTCACCCCAGTTTGGAGAGGTGATTGCAATGCCTCGAGGGTCGGTGCTTCGCATTGCCAATGCGCTGCCAACACTCAACGGCTCTGCTGTCGTCTGTATTGCAGAGAATGCCCTCGGACACGCTGAAGCCACAGCCCGACTCTTTGTCTATCAGAATGAAGAAAGTAAGAGCGCATTCATTTAAGTAATTGGGGAAATTTTGAGGTCAATTCTCCACGATCCGCAATTGACATTGTTCGATAATACGTTGACAATTTTTGACAAGTGAATGCACTCCTCTAGCCACAACGATGAGGTTGAGGACTCAAACGTGGCCGATAAGAAGCGTAATTAATGCCATTGTAGATGAAATGGATTGCCTAAAATTCAACCAATCTGCCTAGCTGCATCCAAAATGGAAGCTAAGACTAAATACTAACAGTTTCGGGAATCCACCAGGGTCCCGGTTAAAATCCCTTTGTTCATGTGTGCAGAAAAAGTGAGTGGCGGAAAGTCGGTATTCATTGCTTTGAGGGTCGCAAGAGCTTAATCACTTGGACAAAATGTAGGAAAGTTTTTTATAAGGCAAGAACAATGGGTTCTGATATCGATACTCTTCTTTGAACTTCCCTGTGTCCCCTTAGCTTGAGAGGGGAAAACCTAATTAATACATTTTGGCTCCTTTGCATCTGTTTTGGTTCGTATTTTGAGTACTAAGAATGTGTGTGCGCCATTGTGTGTGTGTGAGGGAGAGTGAAAGCCATCGGACGACAAGATGGGAAGTCGGAGGTAGAGGCGGGCAGGCGGGCAGGCAAACCGAGTGACGCATAGACAGTGGGACAGGGGGAGGAAAGTGGGAGATAAAGGAGGAGATGCGAGGAGAGGCAGGTGGAGGTTGAGAAGTGTGCCTGACTATAAGTGGCACTGTGCAATTTACTGAGACAGAACTTTTATACAGCCCTGTATAATGTAGAAAGCGAAGATTTTGGGGAAAATGGATGTTATGCGAGGCGACTTAATCTATTACGAACGGCCTGTCAAGCAAGATTGACGGCGTCCTTCCAGATTCACCAACTCTATCTGATCACAGAGGAGGTTTCTTTAGCTTCTCACATCTCATGGTGACCTGCCCGTCTAGTAGAGTAGCAGCTGCATACCTTCCAGACTGAAATCACTTGCTCAGTACAGAAATTTTCACTCCACCTGTCAGCATTCACATTGCACCTGTAAACCATCCGGCAGCATCATCCAACGTCACTCATTTCAATCACCCTTTAAAGTCATCAAATTAAACTTGTTGCAAGACTGCACAACCTTCAGACATCGTTTAGCTGCTAATTTTTAATGTGTGAACTTTTACTACTAATGTAGATTGGAATGAATCTATTTTCCGCTTCGAGATGAACTTGTGAGATTAGCCTTAGGCAAGTGTGTTTCATAGCAAATACTTTACCGAACCCTAGATGACATGATAAAAGAGGTGATAATGGTGCGATAAAAGTTTTACTTCTATTCAGCACGATGAGTCGAATGCGGTGTTGTTTTAAATCTTCTACTTTTTTTCATGCCTTCAGAGGAGAGAGGAGAGGAGAGGAAAAGGCTACAAGCACAGTACGAACGAGTTCTTCCTTACAAAAAGCAAAAAACACTCAAACCCCTTTTATTTTGTGCGAGGACAACATCATAATGTGCTTTGAATCATCGCCGGAAACGCGATTTGCGGTCCTGGTTGTTTGCAGTTGCTATCGCTCTTCTGTGGCATTTATGATGCGATAAACTTAAGAAAACCAGATTTTGTTACCGATACTCGTGTTTCCCTACCTCCGCCACCAAAACAACGTTCTAAGATATCTTAGAAGTCGTTATTAATTTCCCGTCTAGAGGTATCATTGCATATTATTCCAGGCGTTTCCATAAGCACGGATTGATCCGGATCAATGGCTGTCCTGTGAGGGGATTTTTGTTGAAGTTGAATCACTTTCGCCCCTTTTACGAGCTGTTTTTCTCTGTGACGCGAAAGGAGGGTCGTCTTTTCCCCCCCTCGACCACCTTCTGCCACACTTCTGTCAGCATCAGGTGGAAATGTGCCTCGCGGTGGGGGCGACACACACCGTGCACTTGCATTGTAGGCAGCAAAGAGGACACCTGAGGATCGGTAAACTTCCTCAGTCCGCCTGTCGAGCATGTTTGAGAAGTTTTCGTGTGCTCAAAAGTTGATGCTAAGCGCGATAATGCAAAGAGACTTAGCACGTTGGAATAGTTTGCATCCTAGCGACAGGATCGTCCTCAGCGTAACCCAAGTGACAAGGCTTACGAAAGTACATTCAACTTGACAGGAAGATCACAAGTAAAAAGCATAATTTATGTCATTAATTTTGAATTTCTGAGGGTCATAAAAATGCTCAACTACTCAGATGATCTTGGCAAATGCAGAGCATTTGAGTATATGGTAAAATTCTGGAAACTAGCAAAACCCGATTGAAGGGAAATCAGAGGAAGAAGGGCAATAAAGTTGGGCTTTGTTGTCCCTTCCAGATCGATGGAAGGGCTCTGTCACGGTGCCGATCACCCAAATTAGCCTAATCAATTGTGACGCAGGTCTGACAATTCCCAAGGAACTCGAAACAGCATCACCTCCCAAACTTTAAATACCTCACTTCTGCATTGTGACACGCACCTCCACTCAACTCTCCAATCCAATCGCTTTTCACGCAATAACATCAAGCGCTTTCTTCCTAATAATAACTTTTTACGGTTTAAATTCAAGGCACATGTCACGCATTTGTGTGAGAGGAATGAAGTACAGAAGGTTGCCGTAAAATCGCTCTGCAAGTTATAACCAAAGAAGCATCTCCTGACCCACTTTTATCTTTCACCTCAAGCGTTATCATTTGCTTCGTTCCCATAAAGTTTGATTTCTCAATCGGGACTCCGGCAAGTCATAACTACGTTGACTCGACTGTTGAAGGTATTCATATTGCCTTTGCCTGTGGCATGGTAAGTGAATCTGGCAATGCAGACGCACTGACACATTACCACACTTCAAACTTCGGTAAGAGAGAACCCTGAAGGAGGACAAAATGCTCTCAAAGAGACGGCTTTGTCATGTCTGTGGTACAAAAAGGTATTTTAGAGTTGAGGGCTCATCGTTTCAGCAAGGCTGGACACTGGGCGAGGTTTCTCCTAACATGCTGCATTCCATAGGCTCATTGTTGGCTGGCATTGCTGACACGATCCACTACGATCAAATGGTTAATTTCCGCCTTTAAACCTCCTCATATAGACGAGGAGGTAGTCAAGAGTTCCATTTTCACTCCGTCTCCCGTAACACACTTCCCATTTGTTGCGTGTACTCTTACCTGGCATCGTAAGGAAGGTCCACAAGCCACATGAACCGGCTGTCAATAACACGCCAGACCCACCATTACTGCTACCTACAGCACCGCCATGGCAACAGCCCTTTTATGCTCTTGTTTTGAGTAAACATTTTCAGTGCCCTCGTTACTGACACAGGGGAAGGCCAGACGACCAGTAGTATGGGTGGCATTTGCAGTAATAAGAGCTAAGCATTAAAGACGGAATGGATGCGGGTAGTAGCCCTAAATTGGGTCCTGAGGGAAAGAAAAGTATTTACAACATTTCCCCATTGCACTGAATTTGATGCGCAGGAGTTCATTTGATGACACCAAATGCACATTGCGTAATACCTCAAGAGGATCATTCTAGTGAAGTACATTTGGCTCTACTTGCCTACACGTATAGCCTGATATTGCCCTTGAAATATAGGAATTCTTGCTGACATGGAACAGGTTTTACCGTCAGTGATGGGGTGTGTGGAAGGGCAAAGTGCCCTGTTATCAACGTGGATATGAAATTATAGGAAATAAAGAAGTCTGCTTCTTCTTTTGCAGCCTGTTCTAGACACATGAATCTTCCCTCCAAATGCAGTCATCTGAGGGATAAAGAATGGCAGTATGATAGGCATCCATTGTAGAAAAATGTAATTTACGTTGTGAGTCTGTTTATGAGTCCCCACTGTGGATCCTTCAGCAAAAGACTCCATTACACACTTAGACGTGGAAGATCAATGGACACGTTTTGTTTTCAGGCCACTTCAAGTGTGCGCACTCCTTCGGCAGAGAAATGGGAAAAAGGATAACATTTTGAGCCTGTAGCCTCTTTAAGCAAGAGCGCACTCCTTGAGGCTGATTAATCAACTTGAAGTTGATAGACTTTTGACAATGATTTCCACAGTAAATGTCGATTTTTCTGGCTAACAAGCCGTGATCACTCTCCTTTGAGGAATTTTACTTCTACCCATTTCACCGTGTTAGAGCTCTGCAGCAGCTGGACTGTAGAAATTATTTTAACGAAGCATTTGATCGAGTTTTATCGCAGTTTCCTCTTCCTTGTGGATAAAATAGTTCGAATTTTCCATTGAACAGCTTAAAAATTGTCACAATCAGAGCCTGTCTTTGCCTTTTCGATTAATCTGTTTTACGTTGAAAAATGAAGGAGCCATTTGGCGTTACCGTTCAGCTAATCATCGAAACTAGTCTCGAGAAAGGGTTAAAAACATTGAATAAGGTGGCAGCTAGCCCGATTTTGAAGCTAGAATCCACCACTGCCATATACTACTTACAAGAACGACTAAAGTACTATTCGACTTCACAAAAAAAATATTGTTCGTAAAAAGATTAATCATTATAAGGCAGTTATCATAATAGAACTTATTAGCCGAATGACTTTGGAAAAATTTTAGAGCGGATTTATTTGCATTTTAGACGGTTAGCTGGTCCCATAAAGTTGCAATTTTTCTAGAGGAATAAAACACCAAAAGCAATGCCTATCACCAATCAAACTTCCTGTTTTATCATTTTAGTGGCCCCACCTGGGTTTCCTCGTTTCTTGAATGTCTTTTCGGTCATTGTGGCGAAGAAGAACGACAAAGTGGAGTTAGAATGTCGAACTCAGGGCGACCCTTCACCTCTAATCCGGTGGTTCAAGGACAGCACTCCAATTGATCACACCAACACTCGATTTTTAGTTACACGTAAGTCGTTTACTTTTGTTACGCAAATGGCTAGTCAAAGTTGAAACTCTTTTACCTCTGATTAGCCGCAGAGATTTGGCGTAGATCTCACACTCGCCGCACTGGAAAGTAGCACATCGTGAAACTCATTGCCACTCCTTTTTCTCCCTTAAATCACTTATCTGTGGAAAATTTTATCACCTCATGCGGAAAGCTTTACAAATTCTATTGGTTTAAGGTTAGGATAATTTGAGGTTCGGAGAATCACGTGTACGTTAAGGCGGGAAGATTTACTTGAAAGGGTCCCTTCTTGACTCCTTTGACATGTCTTGGCATTCGATGGTTGTCAATTCGGTTGCACCATCAAATGTGTCCAAACTTTACATCTATCAAAACTGTGGAAAAGAACTTCGTCTGTTAGGATAGAACAAAAGGATTTCACAAAAAACGAGATGGAGGCCCGAGGTGACACACCTCGCGTAGGTTTCGCTTTACCAGTTCCCAAACCTTGCAGTTGTGAGTGGTGCAAGCAGAGGCAGCAGGCACACCTAAACGAGGGCTGGCAACTCAACCCTCCAGCTTTGATTGATTTGACCAAAGCACCGGAAAAAAAAGCTGCGTTAAAAGCTACAAAGTAGAGGCAAATGAAGTGGAATTTAGTTGACTGAGTAAACTACTGCCTATCCAATGGAGTTACCTTAGGGTGAGAGGAAGCAATTTTGCTGAATGTAGGGGATGTAAAATTAACATTTGATGTTCACTGACAACTTTGACACTTACTCGGGATGATATTTTTCGTGTGGTGCAGTAAGTAGTGCGTACTTTGCTGCTTGAAGGCAGCACTCAGAGGTGTGTCAACCTCTGAGTGCAAACGCAAAGAGGTTCACCACACCACTGTAAACGCTGAAGGAGTCCAGCCAATGGTTGATAACACCAAAATTAACACCGAAATAGCCTCCACATGGCTTTAAAAGTTGTGGAATTTTAAATTCAGCAATTTTTTTTGTAATTTGTTTTGCTTCAAGATGGTGATAGATAAGCCGATCAAAGTTTTTTTTTGCACGAGTTGACTAGTCATATGAGGAACGAGAGGGTGAAACTGGCATACCGGTCTTCTCGTGGCAGTACAGGTATGCTTTTCTCAGTTCATTACGCATGCACAAAGGAGGAGACACCTAATTCCTCACCTCCTGTGCTCCACTTAGCTAGTCATCCGTTCCTCTGGATTGCTCTTCTTCATCGGTCGGTTGAAACTGACTCGTTTGGCTTTAGTACTGAAATATTGTGGGACAACAAAACTCTAACATGCACAATTGTGCCTCCTGCGCTCAATAATTAGCCCGCCTATGACAAAAGTGAGGAAAGGGGAGGCAAAGCGAGAGTGGAGTGGAGACAAGAGGAGAGGAGAATCGAGCACTTAGACATAGTTTATGACGGCATATTAAAAGCTGCTGCTACTTCTGCTGCTTCTGTAATCTCCCTTTGCCTGCTTATTTATTGCACCTCGTGGGGAGATGCTTTCAATGCAGCACTCACACGCACACACACACACACAATGGAGCATGAAGAAGGTTTTTGTTAAATATGCCTAAAGCCATCTCTCCGCCCGACTTCTCCTTTTGTTTTGTGTTCACCTTTCTGACTGGCTCCAAGGAGGCGGCATTCGACATGACTGATCGCCATTAGTGGAGGTGGAACAACTCTTTCACGATGAAGGGCAAAAGGAGTGGTAATCCTACAAATATCAATGCAATCCTAAACAAATAGTGTTGTAAATTTGCTTGGTTTTAGTCAACCGCTGATAAGGCTGACAGTGGCTGACATCGGTGATTGGAGATAGTGTCGACGGAAAGCAGGATTAAGAAGGGAGCTACTGGCATTTACTCGAAGGCCACATCACCTAGCGAAAGTACAAAAATGGAATTTTAAGTACAACATTAACTAAAACGGGGAGATGAGCAGACAAATTGGGGAGTACAATTCACCTCCATCATCCCTTTTCCTTTTGTACTGACTCCGAAGCGGATTCGAGCAATAATTGAGGGTCTTGGAAATCAGGCAAGATCCAAACAACTTTCACTTCTCACTTATAAAGTATTGTGTAAGTCTTCACACCAACTCCTAGCAAAAGCGTAAACATTTTTTTTCCTTAAAAGTCATTTTAGCCTGAGTGAAGAGGTTTTGAAGGAGTCTCACCCTTTTGTTCCTTTTTTTTTTGGTAAATGAGACTTGTTGTCATTTTAGTCAAGATGATTGTTTACAGCAGTAAGATTCATTGTTTACTTTTAGTCCATAAAAAAACAACCTCTTTACTTCTTGCTGCATAAACTTTGGAAGGGGGAGGAGGGAGAGGATTAAAAAAAGTAAGATTGTGTATTTCCTTCCACTTAATAGAGGATCCAGCCGTTGGAGCTGCCAGACAATCTCTTCCCATTGGGTTAATTTCATGTTTTATTTGCAGTGAATAATTCAGAGGACTTCTCCATTTGTCTTCTTGGTTCCTTACTAATTCAGAATCCTAAAAATGCATAATGCCGGTAACTGTAACGTGCAATTTGGGTTCCTTTTTGGGATATGCTTAACAGTGATGAAAACGCGATACTACTGAAAAGTATTTTAAGTAAAACGAGGTCGACTGTTGACATTGCTGGATTTGTAGTCATCCTTACGGAGATCCGATCGAATTTAGAAGGTGTTATGTAGTTTTCTTACGGTAAGTAGTGTGCAACTTTCTCAAAGCTCCATTATCCCAACCCTGCCGGGAGCTTGTGAGGCTTTATGAGAACAAACAAACTCAGTCGCCTTCATTCAACTTACTTGACAATGACTTGCGCCTTGCTGGTAGAGTGACTCCTATTTGTGTTTTACAGCACTTGGTTACAATCTGTTAGGTGGGTTTGCTGGTGTGTCTTGGTTATGACAGGGCACCTGATCGGTGAGATGCATCTGCCTACACGGCTTCAAGTTGTTCATTCTTAAGCAATCATAAGCAACGTAGTTTAGTCTCCATGTTATTTACAAGGGTGCGGCAGGATCTTACTCTATGGATTACCTTATAGCTGAAGCAAGGAGTGGCAGTAAGGTCGGAGCACTTAAAAAATCAAATAATGGAGGCTAGGTGTACAGTTGGAAGCGTTAATGTCTCACTGTTCAATGAGGCACATCATCCAAGAGTGAGGAGAGGACATGGTCGTAGTCCACTTCTCCCTCATGAAGCCGAAGAAGCTTTCAAACGGTTTTATTATCTCTGCCTATTTAATGAGGCCTTACAAAAAGTCTTTGACAACAAGTAAACAAAAAAGGCGTTTATTTTGTTAAGAAAACTTGCTCTTAAAACTGTCTTTTTTTGTCTAACTGATAGAGTATGCGTAACACTGACAACGCTGCTTAATGTAAACATTCCAAGGTCTCGCATTGTAAAGGCACCGAAAACACTCACATACACACTCAATTCCCCATTTTCTTTGTAATGGCATGAAATAGTGATGTTTGCGTTTTACTTTCTCCTCATTCACCTCCCCTCCTTCCTTCGTCTTTTATTGTTACCGCCGCTGCTGATACTACTACTACTGCTTTAGCAGCGGCAGAGGCAGCAGGAGCAGTAGCAGCAGCATCAACTTTACAACCTCCATTGAGTGGGGATAAGAGCAGCAGCATTAAGAGGCGAGCCACCTCCCCGTTGCTCGCCATTTCATCCCACCTCCTTCTTCTTCAGTCTTCCCCATGCTGTACCAATCAAGCGCACAAAAGAAAACCCACTTCCCTCCTCCCACTAATGCAGCCACGACAATGGAACGGCTTGTGTGTGTGTGTGTGTGTGTGTACCTCTCGAATCACGATTGCCTGTGATCTTAAAAGGTTACAGCATTGGTAGAGGCGGTTTTGATGAAAAATCATTTCCTTTTCTCCCACCTACTGCTACCCTTGAAACAGTATTTCACTTTCATGAGATTTGAGTTCACAGTCTTGTGGAAATTGCATTTCCTGCTAGTGCAATCAGAAAGGGTCTTTTTTGTGAAGGGTGCCGAGGGTGCATGCGGACAAAATACTTCTGTTAAATTATAGTTGGTTAAAATGTACCTCACCGTAGGATCCTCTCCTCTTTGCTATTAGTAACGTATGTGGATAAAATGGAAGGGAAGCGAAAGGCGAACACTGCAACTTTGCTAGGAATCTGTCCTGCCTCTGTCTCCTCTTATTCTTGAGCCACCAATGCACTTGGTTACAAATACAAATCTTGTTAGATTAAAAAAGACCTCAATTAGCTCAATTTTAGATACACGCTGGCAAATGTTTAAATTGGTTTGCCTTAAACTTGAATCTAGCTGAAAACCCGATAAGAAAGGCGGACAGATTCCATTACTTAACGCCTTTTTCTCAAAACAGATCCACCTTAGTCATCCAAGAAAGCCACCGGACAAGACTTGCGATAAGTCTTGTTTTAGTAGATTTTCTTTCTATAAGCGAACCGTAGCATGTGTTAAAAGTAGGAGAGGAGCATGTAGCTAAGAAGGCTAAATTTTAACCAAAATGTAGAGCTGATGTTCTTCTTTGGGACGAATGAATTATTGCCCTTGTATGGATGGCTATATTGTTGGGTTCCACATGTGAGGTAGCCGCATCAAATTTGATGTATTTCTTCAAAAAAAATCAGATTCATTTGTCTGGACAATTAAAGTGTTTCTGATGCTTTGTGTAACTACTAATTAGCGTCACTGCTTGCCGCACTTTTTACCACGAGATTACCTCACTCTCTTACATTACTACGTATAACTACTTAAATCCACTGTTAGTAGCATACTGAGAACTTAAGAGTTAATCTGCTTTCTTTGCAATATTAATGAACAACATTCATGAAATCCTAAATCAAGATTAGCAATTAGTGTGACCCTTACTCTAAGGCGCCTTTTTGGAATCGTGTGCCTATTAACTTCAAAGAAACAATGTTTCAAATGAATATTTCTTCTTTTCCCACTTTCGGATGAATTTTTAGCTGTCTTGATTGATTAAATCATTGTTTCTGGTAAAGGATTCCTTTTATTGGGCGTATGCACCACTGAAGAGGGGTTAACTTTAACCAGAGGAGAAAATGAACCCCAACACTCTTGGGTGGGTAAAGTGCACTTTGCCTAC